AGGTGAAAAATGTTCAACAAATAAAAAAAACACCAATAGATTTTGATTTTCATGTAGAGAGAAAGGATTACTTTTCTTTTTTTGTAAGTCCAATCACTCTACTTAGTCCTGCAGATAATATTTATATAATCATGATATAATAAATACAATTTCTATTAGGTTAATTTTTCTGGAAGTAATCTACTGAGAAAACACAGAAGATTTAACTATAGCTGCAAAAGAATATAAATGTTATAAACTTGACCAAGTAAAAATAACAGTTTCACTAATATATCCTGGAAGACAGAGAAAAGAAGCAAAAGAAAGTATACCAAATTCCTATCTCTTATTGGTATTTTAATAGGAGAAGTAAACAGTCAGAGAAGCAACAACTATTTACAATGATGAATCAGGAAAAAGATATTTTAACACAGTACTTTAAATTACAATGAAATCTACTGGAAAAAAAACTAATAAGCTATAAAAGTGGTTTACTTCAAGGAGTAGGAAAGAGAATGGTGGGTAAGGCAGAAAGAAACTTTTACCTTTTGTTTAAGACACTTTTGTTTAAATATTATGTTTTGCCATCAGTAGATTTTACTTTACATTATTTCAAAATGGCACAGCATGGGGGAGGGAGACAGAGGAAAACAAATTAAAATAAAAGATAAGGAGCGCAGGCAGTATGCGAATAGCATACTGTCAATACTCGGCCCATAAAGACAGAGCAACAAGGACTCCAGATCTATCCATGGGTCTAGGTAGCTGGCCTGGTGACCCAGCCGAAACACTCACTGCTCCGAACACAATCCCAGGCAGAGTTCCTAGGTTCCCCTTGCCTGAACCTAGACAAAGACAGAGCATGACGTCTTGCCAGAAGGGAATCAAGGGCAATAGGGGACGCACAGTCCCTAGTATTGCTGTATTTGTACCAAAAAGCTGGGTTCATTATTCTAGGATTTAAAGAAGTTCTACAACCTACAATTTTTATTCCACTACCAAGTTCATATTCTGAGGGGGAAAAAAGGGTATTTTGAAGATTATGAGAAATTAAATACATGTGTCTATGCTAAAGTATAGTACTCGAGAAAGATATTCTAGTTCTGGTGGTATACAAACTTTTGAGTGCATAATCCAGAATGCTCTCAGATTCCCCCAAGTAGTTTCTTTCAAATGAAATAAACAATAAAGCAGTTTTGACTTTTAAAAATAACTTTTCTTGAAACTAATTTAGATAAATTTCAAGTGAAAAATAAATTAAATGCTTCATTCGCAGACATACTTTAACATAAACATACTGATTCCTATTCCCAGTAAATCCCAAATATATGATTCTGTCGATCAACTCAAGAAACGTCAAATAATGTAAAAATGTTCCCTGTCAGTTATAAAAGTGACAAAACTGGTATACTATCTTTTATTAAAGATGTTGAAACACATCATATCTCAAGGAAAATAAAAGGTACTGAAGGGGTACAAGTTTTCTTTCAGTTTTCAATCAACTGTGTACATTGTATTACTTGGTACTTTATGTATTAAGCTACACAGTCATATACCCTGAGACAGACAATACAGTCAAGGGTTCTTTATGCAGAAGCAAATATATGAATTCTGTTTTTCCTGCTTTCAGAATCTTAAGAGTCAGCTCTCAGTTGCCCCATGTAATCTACTCCTAAGACCACAGGGTCTCTCCCATCTACCAAAACCCTTTTTTCCAACAGAAGAGCAATGTGACTAGCAAAGAAAAGAGAAACATACACTCTACCTAGGAAAAATTAAAAAGTGGACAAGCAGGTACGTTGTGCATATGAACTTGCCTAAAGTATATTAAAAAAAAAAAAAAATTACACCAGAACCCAGAAATGCTTTGCATCACGGGTTGTTCTCTTAAGGACATTTCTAAAGCGAATATACTTCATGATTCTCTAGCCATCAAGAGAAATGAAAATAAATTTAAATGTTAAAGAAAATGAGAGTATAAACAGTTGGAAATTAGTTACTATTCCTCAGATTACCAGTGTCAAATGATTTTTCACTCTGATTCACTCAGGTCCAAGCAAAGATTAAATCTTGCCTTTGGTTAAATTCCACAGCTCCAGGTCAATGAAATGAATTTTTAAAGTGTTGATGAATCATGTCTGAGCAGTCCCAACCAGAGAGCTCAAGAACAGGTACAGTACTGTATTTAGAAGACCAGAGGAAAAAGAGCAAAAGAAAGGAAAATAAATGCACAAAATAAAAGAGGTACATCCAATTAATAAAGACATAAAAGGAAGAGAGAATAAAATTCCTTTCGTTTTTGTGGATTCAACCTGACCTACACGTCAACTAACTCTATCACCATAGCTCATATCCCATTATCTACAGGAAGTGAGCAAATTTCTCATGCTCTCCCAAGTAGGAACAGAAGTGTAAGACAAGAAAAAACGAGACTGGGTTAAGCAGGATGAATGGGGGCTAGCAGAGCAAACAGCGCTGGTGTGTGAGGAAGAATCCCGGTAGAAGGCCTGGCATCGCCACCAAACAATTCCAACTAATAGCAAAGCTCTCTGAGCCACGCCGACATTGTCACTACATCACCAAGTTAAAAACACAACTCTAACAGAGGTCCTGCAAAGCCTAAGGAATTAATTCCTTGGGACATTTTAATATATTTGTGCATGTATTTTTACCTATTTTCAAAGAGTAAGACAAACTTTTCTTATTACTACATGTACAATTCACATGTGTAAACACAGCATGCCTCTTATATAATGTACTCCCTAAAATAAAGCAATTATTACTTTAAGTTACCATTATTGATCTTTTCAATTTCAATCTTTTCACCAGGTCGGATAACTGTAGTCACAGCTCCTCCACATATCACTATATACCTTAATGAGAAAGTACTCAGAAGTCACTTCACGCTAACTTTAAAAAACCCAAATAAAAATTTCCTTAAAAAACATTTTGTATAGTTAACTCTCATCAAGTAGATAATTACTTTAGCACAGCCAAAATTTTTAATTATTGAGGAAAAACAAAGTGCCAACACATGTCACCCTCTACCTCAATTTCCTGCCATCAAATTTCCACACCCATTCTTTCCTATTATAATAGAAGGTGACCTTTTCAAAGTCACCTCTACTATAATCCCTACAAAGCCTTAGCATAATATTATGTCCTCTATTTTATTTTCAACCTCTCACTTTCCAGTAGATTTTCAAATATGCAAATTTCCCCCTCAATTCCACATCTCCCCTCTTCATAAAATTTTCTCATCCTATACTTATACTTCAGGCAAATCTATCCCAACAAAGTCAGCTATGATTTCTTTGGATAGATATTTTCAGTCCTCATTTTGCTTGTTATCTCTGCAACAAAGACTTCATCATAATACCCATAATCTCCTATCTACAACCCTGATACCTTGTCTTAGCTAACTCCTATGCCCCTCCTTCAAGTCCTCCTTAGTCTTGACCCCAAAGGAGTTAGATCCCAATGCTTCCTCTGTATGCTCAACACCCATCTCCCTAAGACCCCATCCCACCATCCCACTATGCCTTCTTCAGTCCAAGCCCTTATTGATAGATTACCTAGGTAATCTAGAAAATCAGGGATTATAATGATTACATTATGTATAGTTCAACACTATTCAGCCAATTCTAAAGCAAAGCACCTGGCATATAATAAACACTCAGTAATGTATAACTGCCTGAATTATGTTCACCCAATCATATATAAGCTGTTCTCACTGTAACTCATTTATCACCACAAAATAAACTAAATGCGTGCTATGTCTCTTCAGGACCCAGAAGGCCCTTGTTAGAAATTTTCAAATACATTCAACATATTAGAGCTAATTCTCTATTTACTCAATTTAAACAAATCTAAATAACATAATCAAGTCTTTAATAGTGACAGTTAATTGGTGTCAAAATGGATAAAAACAAAACATCACTGGAACTACCCAACTATGCATTTCCTAATCAAATAAAAAGTGTGTTGATTCAGTATGCACAATCCTAAAGAAAAAAATACCATAAATATTAAATAGCATCTCTAGTGGGAAAATAGCTAGCTCTTATCCTACAACCTGCAGAGACCCATGATGTGGAAGTATATTAAAAGAAAAAAATTTAATTAAATCTGTACTAATGTTTTGGTCTTCCCTAATCCTTTTATTTTTCAGATACGAACAATCAACATCTACAACATGGGTGCATTGTGCTCACTAACTGCCAGAATTTCCATACAGGAGAGACTGAGGGGTTATGTTCTAGGATAGGTATGAATTTAATTTGAAACTGGGTTTGCTTGGCAAACACACGATTTTACTTAGATTGTATGTTTACTTGAGATGGTTTTAGAGGAATGATGGAAATTACACCTGGGGATTGAGCCTCCCCAAGGGACTGCCACCAGTAATGCAAAACCTTCATTTTAAGCAGACCAAAAACCCATTAATAAAGTAGAACTAATAGCAAAGGCTGCAATGGCCATTTTTACACTGTACATTTTAAAAATAACTAAATAAAAGATGTAACACATCAAATACATAATCACTTAAATATGACAAAGATGATTATGACATAAAATTAAATCACACTTAAATTTTCCAAAATAATTCTTATCAAGATGGGCCAAACATCTGAACTGTCTGGATGTGAAAAACAAACTTCAGTAATACTCTCAATATTTATAAGCTGGGCAAAGTTAAGGAGGAAAAATTCCCAAGAGATGCAAGAGAAATGTAAACAGATAAATTTATTCTTCTCTACTACTCTATAAATTGGAAAGAATATGAGAAAAAAAGTTTCAATGAGGTGAAAAGAAGGGGTAGGATTAAAAATATCTGATCTTTCACACCTTATGAATTATTATTTATAATTTCATTGTACTGCCCATTTATGAACAAGAATGCTAAACTAGAACATAACACTTAATGTTAATTTTCAATGTTCGTTAACATTGTGTGTTACACAGCTCATATGTTAAAAACTGACAACAGAGTCAGCTTTAAAATTTTTATATTACCTTACCTTATGCAACTGTAATGTTTAAAAGTGCTGGCGGCTTTCTGACATTCCAGGCACAACTGAATAGCTCCTGGATAGTCTTCCTCCTTAAGATAACAACAAAAGAAGTCATTAAACAGGAAACATTTTTCCTAAAGTCCCTGAAAAAAATAAATCTCCACTCATACTCCATCCAAAAGTTACAGAACCAGAAAATTTTAAGTCCTCTTAAGTAAGGATTAGAATACCAATGATAAATAAATAATATAAAGAGACGACTAGCTCCAAGCCTAAAATGTATGCATAGAAAAAATATTCTCTTCCCTCATATACATGGTAACAGCTCTCTAAGACCATGACATGTGGATAAAGCCTACACAAAATAATAAGCTGCTTCATAGGGAAAGTGTTCTTTAACTGTTAATATATCTGCTTTCAGTAATGTTTATATAAAATGTTCCAAACCAGTATGAATTCCACTTGTAATCAACACTCAAGAGTTTTACCACCAAGAAATCAATAAATATTTTAAAACAAATAAAGTTGTTAGAAAGTGAAATATTCGGTCTATGGCCATACCATCCTGAATGTGCCCGATCTCAACTGATCTTGGAAGCTAAGCAGGGTCGGGCCTGGTTAGTACTTGGATGGGAGAAAGTGAAATATTCATTAATAACCTTGGAATGTTTTTATCATCTAAAGAGTAATTTAATGCCAAACGAAATTTTCATATGCATTTCTCAAATCTAAGTTTAGAAGTAACACGGTGATTACTGAAAACCATAAAAAAGTTTTCCTATGCTCATCTCTATAATTGGACAAATGTACTTCAAACCAGTGGGGATGCTGAGATGATGACAAAGTACCTACCTGAAGGACCTCAAGTATTATGGGAAACACACAAATTACCTTATGCTTTATAAAACAAGTACATAGAGAATGCTAAGAAAGCATCAAAGAGAAAATAGATGGCTCACTCAGGAAACCAATTACTATGAGATACCAAACATAACTCAAATATGACATATTCCTTAAATCATTCCTGTATGCTTGATACAAAAGATAATTTTACTGCTATTTGGGTGCAAATGCAATCAATATACTGAAGTTAACAATCCCACATTGCTACAAAGTAAACATTTCCCCAAATAAATTTTTCTAAGTGAAATATGTCAATAGAAAAATGCTCTAGAGCAAGTACATTTACATGTCTAAAAATGTTCTTTATACCATGTAGCAATTTGAAAGAAATGCACATCTGAATGTTTTCCACTATAATTTTTCTATTTAATAGTATCAGGATCACCAAATTTCCAAACTTTGTTTACTTACCTCCAGCATTTCACTTAAGCGCACATCTGTTCTTTGCTGGAAAAAAAAAAAAACACACACACACACACAAAAGTCAAAGGTAAATCTGTTTCAACCATAAAATTAAGTTTTAATTTTTAAACAGTAACCTGTATATACCAATGTTTTTATAGTTCTCAGAGATTTCAGAAGTCCAATCAGCAACTGACGTTTCCTTTGATTTGCAAGAAGGCCTAAACTAGCTTGAGTAAAACCTTCCTTGGCAATATTCAAGTGTCTGCAAAAAAGAAGAATAAATACTTAAATTTTTCTATTATAATAAGAACACTATTCACACAGAACAATTAGGCAACTGACAAGGTGATATCCTCAATTACTCTTAAAATCAGGGATTGTGACTACTATTTGACAAATGTATTCAACGGCTCAATCTCAACCAGCATTACTCAAAGCATGGTGGGTGGACTGGTGCCAATCCTCAAACTGTTACTGATCCGTCACAAGAAAAGTACAGAAATGGAGAAGAAGTATTAAAAAACTACTTAGAGCAAAAATTGATATAATAATTTTAAGTTTGATAAATCAATAAAAAAACTGAGACAACATTCTCTATGTCCTAGGTTATTTTCTTAGTATTTTGTTTTTAGTGTATTTTACAAAAATAGTAAAAAAAAAAATGGAAATTAAAAAAGAAAAAAAGTCTGATCCTTATAGTTTGAGAAGCATTAATCTAAACAATATAAAAACAGCAGTATGTTAAGGCCATAATGAGATTTACAGATATTTCATTTCACACATACTTTCTTAGTGCAGCTTTTAGATCATAATACATATTCAGTTAATGAACAGTATTCTAGAAACCATAGTCATAATAAAAACTCAATTATCAATGACAATTTCACAATTTTTCTTGAAATGTTTTCCAGCTTAAAAAACAAAATATTCATCAAATGCAATACCTCCTCCCATTTGTGCAGATAACAGCAGCTAACTGAAGACCCGTCTGTAATGAGGTAACTCTTTCAAGTTCCTATGGAAAAATTAGGTATAGGTTATTGTGGAGGCATTTTATTTTTCTTTATTATTCATACGATACTCTAACAAAAACTTTAGTGGGTTTCAAAGAAAAGCCTGCTTAGAAAACAAAGTAGCAACAAAGATAGCTAAAATTGAAAACTGTTGGTGTATCTTTCACAAAATAATTTAAAATGACTACTTTCAAATGATTTTCACAATGACATATGATAAAATATTTAGTCAGTATTGCTCATAAGGAAAACTAGATCCAACCTGTTTTAGACAGGCATAAACAAATACTAATAATACATCCATTGAAATGTTTCTACCCAACAGAACTTCAGAAGATAATCAAGGATATGACAAGTATGATTTCTGTTTCCTAAGATGCTTTGACAACAGATGTCTTCATTTGAACACGGTAGGTATTTCAATGGATTTTGGAGTCTCTGATTTTCTGATTCAAAGACAGATTCAGTTATAAGATTCCAATTTTATTATCTTTTAAAGACAGATTGTTACACTGCTATTGAGCAGTCATTATTAATGATTGACATGTTACAAAGTACACAAAAGGAATTTTCACTGGGCCTTCTAAAGTTTGGAAGAACCAAAGAGATTACTTTAAAATCAATTATAAAAAGTCACTTCTGAAGTTTGGTAAATTCCCCCAAATGAGAGAGGAAAACATACATATATAGCCCCCCACACACACACCCCAAATAGAGTCAATATGTTGCTATAGAACTACAGACAAGAGAATAAATTATTTCAACACTTTCAAGTATAAGTCACTTAGGCATTTTTAAAATTTTACTATTAAAAATAACAAATATCATCCTACCTTTACATAAGCAGGCTGTTTTTCAAGGATTAAATCTGCTACTTTTTTAGAGACCTATAAAAACATGCAATCAAACAAAGGAAGTAAAAGAAAAAGCCACATACTTCCCGTTCCATTTTACATTTTAAATTTTTGTAAGAATATTCCATAGGTCTTCCCAATAACTTCTACAGCAGGTATTGGCATGCTCTGAGCTATGAAATTAGTAAAAGGGATATAACAGAGAGCATAATACTTGGTCCTTAACAGAAACTCAATAAATGGTCATTACAACTGTTAATAATATGAGAATCATCTGATTTATTAACATGCACAAAGGTGTAAGATCTTTAAGGGCTTAAGATTTGCTTTTAAAAGACGAACTCGTAAGACAAACAATCAGTTGAATTTATGGACACAGTGTCTGGGAAACAGAGAACATCCTGTACCCTTTAGATACTTTGTACCACCTAAAAAGACAAACAGTAATTCGGTCCTCTACTTCTGAAAACTTGAAAACGTGTTTTTGGGGGGATTTTTTTTGGAATGCTATGAACATACCTAAGGTTTCCTTGGTCAAGTCCATGAAAAATGTTAGTGTATGTAAGAATTATAATGATTTTGAATATGAGGCTCTTATTTCAGTTTCAGGGGCACCTGCTAGACTACACTACAGGTACTATGGAGCATGGCACATCCAAAGCATTTAGTGAATTTTTGCTCAAAAAACTCAATTAGTTGAGTTTCCCTTCCCCTTCCCCAAGCAACTGAGAACAAAGAATTACACATACATTCAACTATTGCATTAACCCTTCTATATTTTCTTAACTGCTTTGAATTTGTTTAGATATGAATTTATATAGATGTATAGACAGAAACTGGCCTAATTTTATCAAACTGGGTTTTTTTTTTTTAATAGTTTAAAATAGACAGTATAGTTGTTAGCCTGCACTGTGTCAGGCAGTGTACTAAGTGCTTTCCCTACATTATCTCAGTCAGTACTCATAACAATCTATTAAAATGGGTTCCTCATTTTCCAGATGAATAATCTTAAATATAATAGTAACTGACCCACAGCCCCCACAGCAAGGCCAGGATTCAAGCTCAGGTGTACCAAATTCTAAAGGTCACTGTGCTATCTGGCCCCTGTAATGGGGCCTCATTCCCTAAAGAATACTATCAGATCAAGTACAGAGACAGATGTGTACATATTTAAACATGCTGAAACCAACAGAAAGCAAAAGATGCCACCATCCACTGGAATCCAGTTCTCTAAAAGCACTTTTACCACACAACCCTCTATTGGTCAAGTCCCTTCCCAACACCACTGCTGCTACCCCCAGGGAGATCCCAGCACCCACTGAGACCTCTGAGTGTAGTACAAAAGAAGGAGAAGTATATCTTCCTTTATTTGTCAAATGTATTATTAAAAAAATAAATAAATAAAAATAAAATAAAATAAAATAATTATCAAGATCCCGTACTAACATTATTTAATCTACAGTATAGTCTAAGTTCTATTAAAGGAGCTCAGCCTTCCTCAGCAAGGAAAATCACAGAATCACAGAATTTTACAGCATCCAAGAAAATGCAGGCCTAACCCGTCACTTCACAGATTGAGCAAGGCTAAGTGACTTGCCCAATGCCAGACAATTAATCAGTGACTACAACATTCTGAATCTTAGCTCTCTTTTCTCTTTGGGCCTATTTCAACTACAAGCGGGGGCCTTTATTCTGAGATAAGAAACTATAGTAGGGGGCGCCTGGGTGGCTCAGTTGGTTAAGCGACTGCCTTCGGCTCAGGTCATGATCCTGGAGTCCCTGGATCGAGTCCCGCATCGGGCTCCCTGCTCGGCAGGGAGTCTGCTTCTCCCTCTGACCCTCCCCCCTCTCATGTGCTCTCTCTCAAATAAATAAAATCTTTAAAAAAAAAAAAAAAAAGAAACTATAGTAGGGAAGTCATGCATGAATGACAAGGAGCCTAAAGGTACTTAGCAATCCAAAAAGAAAAGGTTCAAAAATCTTTAATCACATTCAGGATTCCAGAGGAAAAAACCTCTCAGTTCTAGAAGGAAATCTATATCAAGGTAATGGGAGAGAAACTGAATAGGCATTAAATTTTTAAATAAATGTATCATTGAGTCTGAGTCATGTTAAATAATATTTGTTTAACATGTTAAGTTAAACCATAAAATCTGCAAGTATTACACCTCCCTGCTGTTTCATTTAGTTATGTCAGAAAGAAAGGTGTTTTTTACTTACTGCAGCTTGCTGTTGTTTCAATTTGTCTCTGTACTCCTCTAATTCTTGCAAATTGAGAACAGGAGGGAGTTTCTAAAAAATACCCATAAATGAAGAATAAAAAATAGTTTAATTTGATTTCATTTACCTGCATACTTCTGACTTACAAACTATCATCTGTGCATGTAAAACAGTGCCTCATCCCATTCCCACCCACTTCTCTTGGCCTCCCCACTTTCCCCACTAGACTTCAGACACGAAAGCTTCCACATGTTTGTTGCCCAACCCTCTCACGTGCCATCCCTCACCCAGCCCTATAGGACAGAAGAAGGTCCCACATCCTAACCTTACCCTCTATCAGCCATAGGTATATCCCTACTTGTCTACAACAGAACTCAAAACATTTCCCCTCCGAAATATTAGGAATAGTAACTAAGCACTATACTGTGATAGTGACAGTTGCTGGAGTACATTCTAGATTCCACATCAGCTTTCAGAAGACAGGATGGGAAACTAACAAAAATGCATACTGCTGTGTATACTGGAAACTCCAAGTTTCAGTCAATGGACTGATGAAACTTCAGAACGACTGGAGGCTGATGGTGTATATAGTGCATATAAAGTATGTATGCATACTGTATTTGGTTTCATCTAAAACCAGATTTTACTATTCTTTTTTGAATTTCCTATAAATTTAAAATGCCAACATTATAAACATCATGGCATAGAGGTCTTTATCATGGCAAAACAATTATGTAAAGATACATTGATGATTAAAAGTCTCAAAGTTTCTCTAAACATATTTTGACAATATAAAATAAGATAGAGGCAGCATACCAACATATTGCATGCTAACAGTTAAAAACCAAAAATACGTGGAGGGGGGTGGGAGGGATGGGGTGGCTGGGTGATGGACATTAGGGAGGGTATGTACTATGGTGAATGCTGTGAATTGTGTAAATAAAAATAAAAAAATAAAAACCAAAATTACAGAAATGTTTCCTGGACCAATATTCTATAGCTGCACTTAATTTTACATTTTTTAAAATAATTTAATCATTAAACAATGTGGACAGTTCAATAAATCACTATATGGTCATCATAAACCAGTCCTAGTATTAAGGAAGGAAGGAAAGAAGGAAGGAAGGAAAGAAGGATGGATGAACACCCCTAAAAAGCATTCAAATCTCATCCTCCAATTCAGTCACTGAACAAGATAGGGTTTAAATAGGTTTTAATGAATTTTGTTTTACCTCCAGCTCATATTTAACAATATCAAATGAGTCCGTTGAAAAATATACTTGTTCAATACTATTAATTAGCTCTTGTTCAGCTTGAGGGTCACTAGGCTGGTCTCGAAGTTCTCGGAATTCCTCCTTTAAGAAAAAAAAAAGAAATCACAATTACAGTACTTGTACCTGTTATAATTCTACCTGCATGGACATAAATAATCACCTGTCTTAATAGTCACAAATCTCCTGGGAACCATTCCAAGCAAGGAGATAAACTGACAGAAAACAGGAAAGTTCATGGAAAATTAGGACTACTAAAACACTAAAATACTAAAAACTACTCATCTATTGGAGAGAAAAAAAAAATAGCCAGTTTGAAGATTCAGATTTTATTTTCAATTCTGTGTGTGCCAATGGATAGGTGGAAGAATTTATAAGTTTAACAAAAGGGAAAACCAAAGTGACTACGTAGTATCTATCATACATACATACCACATACATACGCATTTTCATCATTTAACATTCTAAAATCTGTCTTAGCACAGATAACCAGGGAATATCTCAATGACTTGCAGGTCACAATCAGCATCAAAACCCTGAGCAGAGCAGACATCCTTCCTTGTGCTAGAAATCTCACTGCTCGGCTAAGAAACACTGGATCCAAAAAAGATTCACAAGTTTAGCTCTGCAATCCTAAGAGGCTTCCTTCAAAGTGTGCTGATAATGCAATTAATGATCTGATTATGAATCTAAAGCTCTGTATTTGATAAAACGCTTTCTTTCTAACGATACAGAATGGAGCTTCTATGGATTTACACAACTAAAAAGAGCTTGACAGACAAATCCCTACCCCTAATGTCAGCATCCTGATCCCATGCAATTTCACTGCATAATTGGATAAACCTTCAGTTAACTGGGAAATTTCATTAACTCAGACACCCACTCTCTGCCATACTAATTAATCAACACATTATTATAGACATTTAACAATTTAGTCCTTTGATTTTTTTATCCATATTAATCTCAAATACATTTAAGAACACAAAAGAAACTCATACTTAAAATAATTTTATAGTCATTAAAATAATACTTAACAAAAATCCTTAATAAATCATTAATTAAATACACCGAAATTATAATGTCAATTAGAGAACATTGTTTTCCAAATAGAAATACTCTAGATTATTTTATTGCAGGGCACAGTTTTCATTTATAAAAAAGAATCTAGCTTATATATCTTTTAGACTTTAATTTATAATTTAAATATGAAAAATTATTAATTATAAAATGATCTCCTCTTAGATTCAAGCTAAAAGAAAATATTAGAGCAATAAATCTGAAACTCAAGAGAATAGTTCTGTTTGTATTTAAAATTCCAATAAATTTAAAAGAGAAGGCAAAGTCATACAAAAATCAACTCTACATAATTAAAAGTGCATGTGAAAGAAAATGCCTCTTCTGTACCAAAACTCAACTTATAAAATACATTAACCAAAAAAAAAGGGTCAAAGATATAGTCATCAGTGATTTAGCATGCAATCAAATACTATGAGTAAAGTAAGAAATCCAGTGTCCAAACAGTGGGAGCTTCATTCCTCTGTGTGTATGTGTGTGTGTATATGTGTGTGTGTTTGTGTGTGTAGCAGGGGGTTATCGACAACAAACACACTAATCTGCGTTGCACCCTGGACAATGATGCTGAGGGACAGACTTGGGTTAAAACCACATCACTTACAGAAAGGTTTCTAACTAGGCTACTCATGGGCAACCTCCAAGCATTTAATAAAAATTTGAAATGAGTGAGACATGAAATGGAAAACGAGATCAGAAATTCTTGGCAATCTCTCTCCCTAAGAGTCCACAGGCATTTGAAATACCAGCTTCTGATGCTGCAACCTGAGGCAGGGAAAAAGACCCAGGTGAGGATATGGCAATGCTGCCTCCCTAGGAATTTCACAGCACCACTAAGAAACAAATGAGGTTGGTACCATTCAAAAAAAAAAAAAAATTCTAAAAATTGCTAAGACTGAAAATATCAAGTACAAAGTCAAGCAAAAAATTCAAATAGACTGCAATGAATGAACACTTTCATCTTAAATATAGATATGCCAATGACATATAACTCCATGCTGACGTTCTCCATACACTACCTAATGAATTGATCTAAAGGTAAAGACCCTTAGGTTTTAGTTGTGCCTCTGGTATTAACTTGGGCAACTCAGTCATTTTTTCACCTGTAAAGGACATATACACAAACACACACACACAATGACAAGTGAAACAAATACCCAAAGTTATTAAGAATGTCAAAGGGAAAACATGATTTCATTTATAAATATCTCACAAGTGTACACTTCACAAACGTAATGAATCTGTAAAAAGGGTACAATCTGTATCTGTATATAAAAGGTCAAGTGCCATTCCTTCTTGAGAACTAAGCAATTATATCAGAGAGAGCAGACAAACCCATATAATTTCAAAGAACAGACACATAACACTTGACACTCTAAGTAACCTAGACTAAGAAGAGGGATAAAATCAAGAATGGCAGAGAAAGAAACATAGCACACAAAGTAGAATTCAATCCAAAACAAATGTCCAAACTATAGCCCTATAAAATACCCTCTCCTTTCGGACAACTTAGTGGCTCCTCTGTGAAAATATACACCTGAACTCATTTAGACAAACTCCATTCTAACTAGATCCTGATCACGTTGTTCCTTTCAATCCCACTGCACCTGAGGGCTGCACGACTGCTTCTACCTGATCATTCTCTACATGTTTCACTACTGTGAGTGCCCCCTGCTCAATCCAATAACACACCTTTTGAGAACTGAGACTTCTCCCTATTCCCCATCATTATGTTCTGTAGCACCAAGGCACACTGTAGAAAGCAATCACTGACTGACTAAAATTAATTTACATAGTGAGCTGTATAAAAAAAAAGAGCAAAAAGAAAGGAAAGGACGTTGTTTTGATAGTCAAAACTTTCCACAAACTCTTAATAAAAGATCTCTTTCTTCTAACTAGAAATAATAAAAAATGTTAAGTGATTTTAGGGATACTTTAAGCATGTAAATTAGAAAAATAAACAAAAACAGCAAGATTGTATATTCTTACCACAATTACCCCATAATTTTGCCATTATATAAACTGGTTTCCTTGAATTAGAGATGTAGAAAAATACGTAATTCTTCACCTAAAACCAATTTTGCAAGCCAATATATATGTATGAGGCAAAATTTTACATGAACAAAATGAACAAAATATTTCCTACAAAAAAAAATTTTAAAGGCAAAACCAGGGGACCAGAATAACAAATGAAACACCTTATACCATATTAAAATATATGATTTCTTTTAAAGTTACAATAATTTTTGATAAGCTAAGTTTGAGAATCAAGTATTTCAGTCTTACAGGCTATTATAAAAATTCTTTAAAGAATTTTATAGTAAATTTTAAGTCACATAGTAACTAATAAATACATGTTATCATTAAAGTGGTATAAATGCTCTATAAAACTTGAAAATCCAAAAATAATATATCGACAACTATAGACCATCAAAATTCGCCACAACTTGCTTGCTAATGGTAATCAACTACACTTAAAGAAGTACATTGCTTACCCCAAAATTAAGACTGAAGAAAAACTACAATTAAGGTAATGAATTTAACTGTAAAGGGTATAAAAATAAAAATACAATGACAAAAAAGAACAAATCAAGTCTCTCTTCCATACTATCATTAGGAAATAACCTGTCTACCTTCAAAGCTCTCTTATCATACCTTTCTCAATTGAGTCACATATTTCAATTTAACATTTTTTTTTAATTCCCACTATGTAAGAATTCCCTATACTAGGTCATGCAGAAATAAAGTTGAGTAAAAAAATAGCTGAAGTAATAGAAGAGGTCAGATGAAGGAAGAAGCAATGCCCCTGCAAGGCAGAACATAAGGGAGAACAAACAAAACCTAGGGCATCGAAGGGCAGTGAGTTCACATTTGATGGAACAGGTGCCATTTAGAGAAAAGAGAACAGGTGAAATTTCAAATTTGAGAAATTTGGGGAAATAAGGTAACAAATACAAAGCAAAGCACAAGTAAAAGCTGTAGCGGGAAAGCATACAACAGGTTAAACGGCAGAGGATGGCTTCACAGGGTGGAAAAATGTCAGAGGGAGCATCTACATACACACCAAGAGGCAATAAAATGCAACAATAGAGATTTTTTTTAATCCAATATATTTTTATATACCCTAGAACCATATTTTTCCTTTACTAAAAATAAAAGCTTAACACCTATCACCGTGCCAGATGCTGTATCAAAAAAGTAAGCATAAATATTCAATATTTTCTTAACATAATAAACCAAGCAGGATTATTTTAGACAAGTGGTAGAAAACAAAGTAGTCAATATTTTAGAGGCTGTCTTTTCAGCAGTCACAATACACGGTAGGATTGCATCTAATTCTACCTAGCCTATTTTTTTCCATTTTGATCAGCTCTGAGATAAAGCTGTATGAACATACATATAAAATGCACATTATAAATGTAACTTTATGAAAAATGAAGAAAAACAATCATAACAGAAATTTAAGTGAACATCTTTGTTTTAGCCAAGTCATTTTTCCCCTCAACATAACAACAAAAGGTTTTATGAGAACTGGGGATTCAGGTCTATAAAACAATTGGAGCCCTCAAGTGTAAGGTGTTATAAAACATTTCCAGTGTATTTATGGTTTCTAAGGAACTAGGCTATAACTTTACAAAACAATTTCCTACTTAAGAGTTCATCTCTTACAGGAATGTATTCAAGTTTAGGACAAAAAAAAAAAAAGACTACAAATTTTGCATTTAACCACTACTTTTAAATTATACAAAATACCACACAAATTAAAAATACCAACTCAAGTTCAAATTTTTTAATTCTATTCACTTTCATAAGTGTAAAAAGTGAGCTATGACAACTTCACAGTTCTCCTTACCATTAGTAAACTCAATTTTCTCTTTAATTTCGAAAAGCAATTTAACCTAATTTTTAAACTCACAGAACAGCTTGAAAACTTAGAGTCTTCGATAGTAGGTTTTTTATTCAAACAAAAAAGATGAATGCAAAATCTTCATTTCATAGGTCAAGTTTTAAAA